ACGGTGGACTGCGATATGCAGATAACGGAATTGTCATGCCCGCCTACGGGGTCGAGATGGACGTCAGCGTGAAAGGTTATAGGACAGTCCTGGCAGAAGTAGCGGGGACGGAAAACATTCCAAATGACATGATCACTTGGATGAATTGGACGGCAGATGCGGGGGTGACGATATCCATAGGTGAAGAGGGTAGCTAACTTCCAGCTGGCAGCGGAAAGAATGATAAGTTGATCAATGTGGAGGCCGACACAAGCAACAGACGTGATAAACTCTTGGAGCACACGGTTTTGGCAGATGGATGACAAGATTCAGGTCCTGACGAAGGCCTAAATATGTCTTTAGGAACAGTGACCGATGATGGAGCACCAACCGGAGTCATCACATTAGTGGTATTGAAAGCGTACACAACGATAGCTGGAGGCGCCGTTAGTTTTGTGCCAGGACAACTCTCATGTACGGTCGATGGGGCGGTACTCCTATGGAACGTTTACAGTACGCAGGTCTGCCGAGAATGGGCGACACCGAGAAGGCTGTATACGGTCCAGAGAGGCATTATTTGCGTTCCAGTCATGAACTTGGGACAGGAACCGTATGCCTTGCGAAAGGCAAGAGGCTGACAAAAGGCACCAAAGCCGTCAATTGCAGAAGAAAAGATCCTCTCTATACAGGCAGGAGGGGGCGTTCAGAGCGCGAAGGAGCCAGAAGAAGAATTGGAAACTGAGTTGAGCAAATGTCCTGATGAAGGAGAAACCGACCCTGCAACGCGGCGGTAGACCAGGATTCGTCGTGCGCCTCAGACATTGAAAGACTGCGTCGTTGACTGCATCGCAGCACAGTCGTATAGCGGGATCGAGTGCAATGTTTAGTGACAAGTGTCTGTAACAAGACGAAGGCACATCATCTTAGACGTGGGGTGAACAAAAAGACAAGCTCTAACCTCCCACAAAGAACCAGAAACGTTGGCCAAACGAAATAGGGGGCGCTTGCCCTCCGTACGTCCCAAGACAAAGGTGTATCTTGCACCGGAAGTACACTCAGCAGATTAACGCGGGCTAGACCCCGAAGATTAACAAAGAATCCGAAAGTGTCTGAAAGGATCAACTCGTGTTGGAACGGAGAGAGATTATTATGCAGATATTGAGTTTATGAGTATCTCGCGTGCGCAGTTGTTGCCCTTTGTATATGAGATGTGCTTGCAAATAAGGCCTTGTAATCAGGTTCCGCGTTCTGTCTGCTACTAACATCCGACCGTTTACAATAGAATGATCTCTTGCACTGTCAGCTAACGACTCAGCGGCAACTGAGAATATCAGATCGCGTCTTCAAGAATATGGGCTACTGCCTTAACGTATCTGTAAAGGGAGAACGATAATCTTTTTCAAACTAGCATCAACTTTCTGAACAAATCATTGAATTTCTGAGCACTTAATGTTAAATGCAGTAATTCGATCGTATTATAATGCTTAAAATACGCCGTAAACTATCATGCTTTTTGTTGTTCGCAGACTGGTTGAAACGTCAACAATGCACAAACAGC